TTTTTCGTGTTAAATATGGTTGAAGTAAACTTTATGAAAAAATTTTTTGGTTATGAATTTTTTTTTTTTTTTTACAATACTTATTTATTTTATTAGCTATATATATTTAAAATCATTGCCTAAACTTATAAGGCCAATATTTCCTTGTTACTGCGTATTTATTCTGAATTATAAAAAAAATTTGAAAACATTTCGAAAAAAAGTATTCAAATAATTCTTTAATTCGAATAACTATAATACTACAGACTAAAAGTGATTAAGAGACGAAGGGAATGTGCCTTTTTAAAAATAAGAAAAAGAACGAATTTGGTAGAAATAATTTTTAGATATTCTTGAATAATAATGTTTTTGTTTATCAAAATTTGTAATTTTATTATTGTAGTTCGTATTTAAAATTTAAATAGCGTTATATACTCTGGCTGATTAATGTACCATCAACTTGGCACAAATTCAAAGGGTGCTAATAAAGTGATGGTCTTAATGATAGTGATGATGATTTATTGAGGTGATGAAGTAAAAGCGGACGATGATCAAGTGATATCTATGCTAACTTTATGTTCACATGATTCGTAATTCTCGTCCTTACCACAATTCTCGCAAGTAACTAATGTGAATAGTTTCACAAGTGTATCAGAATTAGAGTCTTAATAAGCCAAATCGAAGTTACAAGTCAATTCAGTCCGTCGAATTGAGTCTCAAAAGGGTTTATTGGTTACAAGTCGAATTCAAAAGATATAGTCAAGGAAAATTTATTGATCGGTAACGGCAGTCATTTTATTCATAATAATTTTATATCAGCTGATTGGGACCCTTTTTGATAAACTGTTACATGAAAGTTTGCTTCTAAGTGACGTTGAAAAGTAACAAACAGGCACTTGTTATAACTAACTAATAAAGGAGCCTTTTTAATATCTAGACAAGATAAAAACCAATAAATTAGAAAGAAGTACTTTTGTCGTTTGTTGAAATACTCGGGTGTTTTGGGCATTTTGGATGGGTTGTTAATGATCAAGAGTAAATTCGGAAGCTAATTTTCAAAAAAATGCATCTTTTAATTAATTATAAAAATTAAATTTTCGTGTAGAATTTTTTTGATAATCCTTGATCATGATTGGACGATTTTGGGCAAAATAGCAAAATAACTAAATTAAGGCCGAGATTGATCACCTGATACTTCAGCCGGGCGATCTGGATTACGGGCATTACAGCATGGCACCAGCCGGAGTCGAACCCGCAACATTTCTGTTACGTACCACGCGCTCTAAACCGTTATTCCATATCAGAGTGATCGTATGATTTTTAAGATGTATTCCTTTTAACCCTTATAATCATATGAATATTCACATTATGATTGGACGAAATTATTCTCAATTGTAATTATTTTTTTTTAAACTATTAACAGATATTTTGGTAACCATCTAAAATCGATAAATTTTTTTATTTTAATTATACATTCATAGAGAATCAGAATAAAAAAAAAGTTTTCATCGATTTTATATAGGTTGTTGTCGAGATATCTTTGCCCAAAGTTTGGAAAAAACACTGCCGCAACTTTTGATAGTTATTCAAGTTTTTTCTAAACCTTGAGCGAAAATATCTCAACAACCACCTATCTAAAATCGATGAAAATTTTTTTATTTTAATTATAAATTCATATAGGATCAAAATAAAGAAATTTTTTATCTATTTTAGATAGGTGGTTGTCGAGATATCTTCGCTCAAAGTTTGATAAAACTTGGCCGCAACTTTTGATAATTATCCAAGTTTTTTCTAAACTTTGATCGAAGATATCTTGACAATCACCTATCTAAAAATTGATGAAACCTTCTTTATTTTAATTATACATTCATATAGAATCAGAATAAAAAAAATTTTATCGATTTTAGATAGATAATTATCGAGATATTTTCGCTCAAATTTGAAAATAACTTTTTCGCAGCTTTTGTTTTGATAGCTATCCAAACTCTTTCGAACCTTTGAGCGAAGATATCTTGACAACTACCTATCTAAAATAGATGAAAATTTCTTTATTTTAATTATACATTTATATAGAATCAGAATAAAATTTTTTTTTATCAATTTTAGATAGGTGATTATCAAGATACCTTCGCTCAAATTTAGAAAAAACTTGTTTTGATAGTTATCCAAGCTTTTTCTAACTTTGAGCGAAGATTTCTTGACAACTACCTATCTAAATCAATGAATTTTTTTTTTTTTTTTTAATTATACAGGGATATAAAATCAGAATAAAAAAATTTTCATCGATTTTAGATAGATGATTGTCAAGATATCTTCGCTCAAAATTTTAAAAATTTTTGCCGTAGCTTTAATTGTTATCCTCGTTTTTTCTAAACTTTGAACGAAGTTATCTCGACAACCACCTATCTAAAATGATGATCGTTCTTTTATTCTGATTCTATATGTCTGTATAATTAAAATAAAAAGAAAATCCATCAATTTTAGATAGGTGGTTGTCGAGACATTTTTACTCAAAGTTTAGAAAAAACTTGGATAACTATTGTAACTGTTGATGGGAGAGCTCGAGAAAATTATAAGTAAAAGGTCAATTTAACTTCAACAGTGTACAAGAGAGTAAGGATAATCGTTCAATAAGCAAAGAAGGCCTTTTATAACTATTAAGGGTCTATTTGGACGATATGATGCTAGCAAATGAATACTTTGATATCAATAGGTTATGATAATAGGTAGCTTTGCTTGAATGTGTGCCAGGTTTATGGCGCAGCAAAAATTCTTCGAAGCTCGTTTATGTTGGGTTAGGGTTCAGGTTAGGGTTAGGAAGGGGTGTTTATATAGTAAAATTGTCTAGTGAAAACTTTTTGTTAAAGCACTAAAGGTGGTTTCCTATACGGATTTTCAAGAAATGGGCGATTTCTGACAAAAGGGACTTTTTTTTTTTGTTTTTTTTGTTCTTCTTGATCGTGTTATGTTACACCTGATCTTGAAATCTGATTCGTAGTTCAGGACATCTGCGCCACAAACCTGGCACACATTCAAGGGGTGTATAATGACAGGTGATGCTGTTAAGGATGATAATAAAGTGATGGTCTTAAGAGTGGTGATGATGTAAAAGTAGATGATAATCAAGTGATATCAATGTTAACTTTTAAGTTCACGTGATGGATCGATTGATGGATATCTAGTAATTAACCCACAAATTTTTTCTGTCATGTAATTATCATTACAATTTTATAACACACCATGCATCTATTAAATGTAATCAACTAAATTTTTTTTGTTTTTTTAGTAACATTCTTTTGGTGCTTTTTATGATATTCTTTTGGTGACCTTTACAACATTCTTTTGGTGCTTTTTATGATATTCTTTTGGTGACCTTTACAACATTCTTTTGGTGCTTTTTACAATATTCTTTTGGTTATCTTTACAACATTCTTTTGGTGTTTTTTATATTATTCTTTTGGTATATTTTATTTTTTTTTTTTGTACTTTTTATGTGTTTTTTCAATTTTTTTACATTGTTTTTTGCTTTTTACATTGTTTTTTTGGTGTTTTTCTTAACATTCTTTTGATGTTTTTTTCATTATTTCTTTGATACCTTTTCATCATTTTTTATTGTCTTTGTTATTTTTTTGGTGCCTCTTTTGATTCTTTTTTTTTGTTCATTAGGTGTTTTTTTTAATATTCTTTAGGTGTTTTTTTTGTCATTCTTTTGGCACTTTTTTTGTTATTTTTTAAATGTTTTTTTGTTGTTCTTTTAGTGTTTTTTTAACATTTTTTCGATGTTTTTTTTTGAAATTCTTTTGATATTTCTTTCAATATTCTTTTATTATTTTATTATTATGGAGGTTAGGGTCCTATAGCTTAGTGGTCTAAGCGCCTACTTCCACAGTCAAGGTCTTCAGGTCAAGTCTTACTGAAAGTAATTTCTAGTAGTATTTAAAAATACAAAACCCTGTAGAAGTCCAAGTGAAGTACAAATTTAGTTTAGGAATTTCCAGAAGAAGATCCATTATGGAGAAAAAGTGCATTATATGTAATAGTAGTGTTACAGAAGGTTTGATGACAAGAAGGTTATATGAGTAAATCCTGCAGATAGCAAGGTAATATCAACAACCCTAAGGCAGTTTTAGGATCTTGATTTG